AAAGGCCCAAAAATTTTTTATAATTTTATAATAAAATATAAAAAAATTTCAGCATCAGCCGTTTTCAGCATCAGCTGTGACAAGAATTGATAATACTAGCAAGCATTCTTGATAAACCTTTTAAAAAAATAAAACTCAACTGTATTTTAGAAAATAATAGCAACATGTGAAGCTTATATAACAAGTTAAGTGATATTCTTTTCAAAACAGCAGCCTATTTTCAGAATTAATTTAAAGAAAGAAAAATACTAAATGACCAAAGTGTAATTGATGAATTTTATAAACCACTTGAAGAGGTGAAGAAAGAGTGGTATTTAAAGCTAGATAATAAAATTACATTTGAAAAATAGTTGGCAATAATTGAAAAAATGAAGAATAAAACAGCATTTGAAGTTTTAGAAATTGGGTACTTGCTAATTAATAATATGCTAAATTTTCAATTCAAGGTTCAAATTTTTACTTAAAATTTTCATAGCAATTATTAAAATATAATATCTTATAAGCTCAAAATAAGTCAAAGTTTTCTTTTAACACCCAAATTTTCAAAAACTCATTTGTATAACACTTCTAAAATACTGTATCATAAATTCTGAGCAAGATTTAATAAATACTGCAAATAAAGAATGACAAAAATATCAAAAAAAATCTAAAACAGAAGTTAGAAAATTAATCAATCAATATTATGCAACAAGTTCATCTATTATTCGAATAGCAAACTTTTTTTTTCCTCCAAATTTACAAAGTTTTGAATCATCGAATTCAAATTCTAATATCAATTCCAGTACCAATTTTAGTAATTGTCTTTTACCTTCTTTATTTAGCAAAATATCTACTATTGCTCCTAATACAGTTGCTCAATACCAAGCTTTAAAATTAATTCAAGAAGCAAAATCTAAAATAAGTAAATATGAATGTTTATTAGATCATACTAGTGATAAGAATCGTTGAAATCAAATTTATGGAAAATTAAAAGATGTCTGTATAACTATTTCACAAAAAAAAAGACATTTTAATTTACTTCAAAGCTGTACTACAGCTCAGAAAAAATTTTGAGAAAAAAGAAAAAATCAACTTAATAATGGGATTATTGAAATATATAATACTTGAGAATACCTATTTAAGCTTCAAAAGAATCTTGACTTGTTTGACCAAATATATAAATGTATTGAATTTGGTGTAGCTAATAAAAAAAGAAAAAAAACAGTAATCAAAGTTCATACTATTAAGCATTTAAAAGAGGCTTTACAAGAGAAATATAATATTTATATTTCTCGGTAAATACTTTAACCTTATTTTATATCTTGATATACTAATATATATAATACACTTTATTATCGTTATTCTGCAAATATTAAAATTAGTACAGTTTCTAAATCTGAAATAAAGTCTTATATTAATAAACATTATTGTTTGGCATTAGTTAAAATAATTAAAGTATTTGCTTCAACTTTTACCAACTATAGCCTTATTATCTTACAAGATGATAAAGCTAAAGTTGGTTTAGATATACCTGCAGTTGGTAAAATTTTTTAAAGTCTGCAATCTTTTAATAAACCTGTTACTGTATCTAATTATGATTTTTTCTACAGAGCAAAACAAAAACTTATACCTTCTGTATATTTGATTATTAACTCTAAAGATGAGTTATTGCATCAGAGTCAACTATTTATCTATATTCGTCCTAAATATTTTATAGAAACTTCTTTAATATTTTATATAAAAGACTTACTTGAAATTTTAAAGCATAATGAATATGCACAAGTACTAAATATAAAGAATATCTTAAATCAATATGGGTTTTGTTAGTAGATGATAGATCTAATGAAAATCCAAAACATTTAAAAAATATAATTGAATATTGCTATTTTTTTTGTAAACTTGGTCTAGATTACTTATTAGTTCAAACTCATACTCTTTATCAATTATTATACATCCTAGTTGAATATAGTATATATATACTTTCTAAAAAGCTTGCAAGAATTGAACTACTAATTGATAAATTTGGGTTGCATCTTAATTATACATGCTGATGAAATTATTTTAGGTTCTAAAATCTGAAATTAAAATTTGAAAACAAAATTGTTTTTGATCTATTTTACTTAAAAAATGAAATTTTTTGATACTTTTTTTAAATAGATGAAATTATAAGGAGTATAAATATATAAATTTTATTTGCTTTTTTTTATAAAAAAATTTAATTTGCTCTAATAGAGACAAAATAGGCCTTTTTTAAAAATCAATTTTAGTGGTATTACTAATTTTAATAGCCAAAAAGTAGTTATAGATGAGAATCTAGCAAGACATAATTTTGAATTTGCTAATAAGTCTTTATGTAAAATTTGGAAGCATGATAAGATTCATGGAAAGCAGATATATGTTGATTATATTAACTATATTGAAGATTTATTTCAAAATAATGGAAAAGAAGTTCTTTCATGGTTATTAATAGAGCACTATATACAAATTTGCTAGTACTCTCTTGATATATGAAAATGTTCAAATTACAACTGAGATTTATACAAAAGAGGCATTCAATTTATTACGAGAAAATAATAATTTTTTTTTACCATTAGTTAAAGGAAAAGATAATCACTATTTAAACTCAATTTATATTTTGCAATATATAGATAAAATAAGATTGCCCAAATATGATAAAAAATATCTTTCAGAAACTTTGTTGCAATAAGTGCAACAAGTAAAATTAATATTTATAATAATAAATTTTATATATTTTTCTACTATGTAGATAATTTCCAATTATAAAAAGGCAAACTATCCTAAAAAAAACTGCAAACAAAATATAAATCAGGCTTTTGTACATGATCTTAACTCTTTTATTGAGCTTGCAAATAATATCAATATTAATATATTATCCACCTACTTAATTTCTCTTTCAAGATCTACTAAACCATATTTATCTATGGAAGAAATTATTGTATTATTAGATTATCTTGATACCCAACAAGTTGAATTAAGTAATGTAGCCTTTTTAGAAAACTTCTCTAACTTACCTTCCATTGGTCTCTCTCACAAATCTGAAGCTTCTTATTTATGAGAAGCATTTTCTGATATTGAATAAAATTATAAGTAGATAGCTATCTAATATTGATTTAAATTGATTTATTTATTTTATTTACCTAGTAATAAATATGACTTGAATCATATTATATAGAAAAAATGATTAGTGTTTGTGCATTATAAAAAGTTATCAAGACTAGAAATAAAAAATAGCAATAACCTTTTTTGATAATGACAAAATAAAATAAAATTTTAATTGTATTCTTGCTTACTAAATACTTTAACATTAAAATTGTGATTTACTTAACCAAATAAGAAGAGCATAAACAAGTAAAACCTATCTTACCCAATGTATATTTTGACAATCTAAATTTCTTGGATACGTATTACTAATATTACTGTACCAATATTATCTAAGATCACTATGCAATATTATATGATTACAAGAGCTAATCAAAAGCCCGGAGTCTATATAGACGTGATAAACTGCCGCCACCCCTCCCTCCTAATAAATTATGTAATAAAACGGCACGCCCCTAACTCCAACTAGACATTGGAGTATACGATATCAGTCTTATTAATTAAGATTTTTTATAATGAACTGTAGATCAACGATAATTTAATAGTAAAAACATAGAAAGCTCAAGCTGCAATAACTTTTGAACCAGCAAATTCACACAAATAAAATTATATTTGTTAGGTTCGTATAATGTGCTCTTTAACATGACAACGCTCTTTTTTTTATTTTTATTGTCTGGGGGAAATAATGTAATACCAAAATTCTCGTTTTTGATATATTGTAACTGAAATTTTCTGTGCATATTGTGACCCAATATACAATAGCTACATTTTGATATTTTTATTAATAATGAATCAAAAACGAAGATTTTGGTATTACCCCAGACAATGAAAATAAAAAAAAAGAGCGTTATAATAAACTCGACAAATATAAATTTATTTGTGTGGATTTGCTGGTTCAAGAATTTCTACATTGCACAGAATACCGCAGAAATCACTGAATGATTAACCCTAGGTGTTGCACAAAAAATGCGCAGCAGATCCTCGATTTTGATTGGCTATCGGCTGAGGATCTTCAAAATTTTGGCCCGCATTATATAATTGTTTACTAATTTCTAGGCAAAGTTAACTTTTTAATTTTTTTCATTACAAAAATAGAAATTTTTACCCGCATTATAGTAAAATAACATGCCATCATGTTAAAAACCATTTTTAGAATATGACGAAAAAACTGTACGTATTTTCAAGTTTATTTATTTTTTTTTTAATATTAAGGTGACCACTTAGGCCCCTGGCACTTTATTAGTTCAAATGGGTGGGCCGTCCGAAGACGGCTTACATATTACATTAGTATAACGAGAGTACAACTAGTCACACGTACAACTTTTGGTTGCCTATTTAAGTAGTCC